GGTGACGCGAGACAGCGCGATTAGGCCGTCTCACTTTAAAAGAAGGACAGACTAACTCAACCACTTGAGGGCGCCACTTCCCGGGCAGAGACCCCAGTGCGGACTTCGGATCTCGCTCCAGTACCCTCTTAAGGCTAGTATTACTAAAATAATCACTCCAATTGCATTGGCAGCAAACTTTTGTCATCCAAATTATCTAAGAATTTTATGTGCAATGGCCCTTACAGGATAAAGAAATTTTTGAATTTCTAGCACTTTTCTATTCTAGGCCAATCAACAAGCTTAAACACTTTGTTGACAAATGTAATTTGCATTTCTACAAACATAATAGTATACTTCGATAAATGTTATACGTTTTATACGTATTTTATACGTTTTTACGTATTTTACCGTAAAAAACTATAAAATGAAAAAACCTCTAGATAATGCTCGAATAACCCAACCCTGGTTATAACCGTTGTTACTTCACCGAAAAATAGTTTACTTTCTACTCGTACAGCTTTACTACTTTCATTGAAGACGGCACTTCACAGCATGCTAAGATGGAGGGGGTGTGCACGTGTATGTACTATGCAGATGCCGATAGAAAGTTTGTTGCTAAGAAACAAAAATGTTGTTTAACCTAATTCCGTCCTATCAACATGTCATATCATTTCTAATAATATATTAAACTTAATGACAATTCGAATGTTACTTGATCGAATTATAATACATCAACATACTACATTTGTTACAGAAGTACATTTTATTAAAATTAGTATTGTAATTATCGATTACATTAGCATAGAGTAAATAGACAGTAAAAGACCAACAAACACAATATTGACAGATAAGCTATACACTTCCCACAAAATTCTAAAAACTGGAAAACCAGTGATATATATAGTGTATTGTAGATTACGTACAATTTTGTATGTACACTAATTAATTTGTATTATATAAATATAAAATATATATATACGGTTCTCTATGCCAACTATCTGCCATTCAATATTTTCAAGGTAGATTCTTTTTCTGACAAAAAGATCTGACACAGAAAAACAGCGAGATTGTAATAATTGTAATTATTGTTGAAAAGTAGATTTTGTGTATCTTGTGACACATGTGTTTATGTACAAAGTTAAAACTTAAATACATATAATATATATGTATTTATATATTATATATATATATATACACATATATTTACATA